CGTCGTCCCTATAAAAACTCAAATCCCATGAATCCGATCACACCAAACTAAACGGATCACTAGTACGTTTCAGTGAATTATAATTAAAAAAATTAGGGCTACCTGACATCGACGACGGCAATGTTGGGACGCGGTTTGACGGAGAGAAGTTGAGAGCCGGTGATGTACGTAATGTTCCGAGCCATCTCTTCTTCTCCTCTCCTCTCCGAATCTTTTCTCTTGCCTCCTGCAACTGGATTACTATACCACGCTTTTAGGTTGGAATTTGTTACAGAATTAATACATTGTGACCAAAAAATTATCATATTAATATATCAAATAACTAGTGTGTGCGCCGTATAAAACGACTGCTACATTGAGTTACTATGAATAGTCTTACTTTTTTTTATATGGTCCCAACTTTAGAAATGTTTGGAAGAGTCTATGGGATTTTGGGGAAAAGGTCAAAGTCACCGTAATTTGAGATAATACTTCTAACTCAAATTTTAACGGGGGAGTTTGGCATTATCTTTCATCTTCAAATTCACATAGAGCACCTTAGATGCTAATGTGAATTGCATTAAAAAAGATGCTTAGCCCCTGTTTGATATTGATTAAAATTAGATTTTTATTTAAGTCAAAATAAAATAATCAATATCAATAACATATTTCATAGTTTCTATAATTTTTCAACCATACATTTTATAAACTTTTATCAAAATCTACCAAAAATCAAATTTTAATCCATATCAAATCGAGGCATAAGTTAAAATAGACAATATTTATAAAAGTTCATCTTTAATGTAACATGTTTGGGACTATGTTTACGTGTTGTGATAGGGGGGGAAAATAGACATTGTAAAGAGATATCTCTAGATATAGAGATTCTTCTCGACGAGTAATAAAATATCAAAATTTAATATTCCTCTCTCGTCTTTTGATTTTTTTTTATTTGGGTCTCTCATGTATGTTGTTTTCTCTCTACTATTAAATATACATTAAAAATAAAATTTAAATTATAAATGGACCCTTTAGAGATGACATTTAAATTTAAGTGTCTATTCTGATCAAAAAGTTTTCTATTTACATGCACTTAAAATGACAATCCATAAAATGCATTGAAGATCACTTCAAGAATTATATTGTGAGGAGAAAATATCTTTCTTTATGCATATCAGTTAAAAAAAACAATTTCATAGCATGTGTAATAAGTGAAGTTCTAGTTCACTACCATACCATATCTAGTAATGTTCAATTTAAAAAATGTATGGCTTTTATTTATAAGCAGA